TAATAATATTTACTTGAAATATTTTGTTTATTCCAAACAATTAATAAAGAATACTATATAAGAATTTAATAAATAAAATTATTAAGAATTAATTAATGTAGTGAAATTCCTTATAATACTTATAACACTTTATAGATAATATATATATATATATATATATATATATAACAAATATAAATATCAAAATATTTTTTAAAATATAACTGAATTTAATAATATATAATAAAAATTATATTTTAATATTTTTTTTATTAAGCATTATTTTTATTATTTATTAAAATAAAAAAGAAATTAGCAAAAAATAATTAATTTAAAAAATCTTTTTGAAAATTATTCAATGAAATCAAAATAGTTTAATATTTTAAATATCTATTTCAATTTTATTTGAAATAAAATTAAAATAATGATGAATAACTTTAAAAAAAATTTAATTAGATATATTTTACCTAGATAACATAGCCATTGGAGTAATTTTTAAATTAGACATTAGCATAGCTGTAATTATACCAGAAGCTTCTTTATGAATAATTTCTTTTGTTGCTTCGGGAGTCACATCTCTTTTAGAAAATCCTGTACCACCAATTGTTAAGATGACATCTACTTGTCTATTATCACTCCAAGAAATTAGATTTTCCTATGTATAACAAATTTATATAAAACACTTATATTATTAAAAGCGTTTTTTAATTGTAATGTAAAAAAATATAATATATAAATGTAATGTAAAAAAATATAATATAATTATTAAAATTCTTCTTTATAATTATACCTTTATTACATATTCTTTATCTGGAACAATACTTTTATGATATATTTCACCTTTCAAAATCTTTCCAATATCAGAATTCTTATCTTTAATACATTGCTCTATTTCAAATCCACTTTTATCCTCACTATTATGTTTATAACAGCTATCACTAACTGATGATAAAAATATAAATTTTATTATTAAAAAATAAAAACTTATGATATAAGTAGTAACAAATGTTCAATATAATTCATTTTTTATAAAAAAAATTTTTTATAAAAAGAAATGTAATTTTAATATTGAATTGTAATAACTATAATAATTAATTAAAAAATGATTTGTAATATATTATTAAAATTATATAAAAATTAAATTTATGATTTATGCTATATATAAAATAATAATAAAAATATCTATATGTTCCAATTTAAAAATTTTTAAATTTCAATTTAAAATTTTTATATACAATAAATATAACAAAAATATAATAAAATTACCTGTTAATAAACCAAATCTTATTGAATCCATTCTTTTATATAATTATTTTCACATAGATACTTAATAGTAATAATTCTTTTAGTAAATTTCTAATAACAAAAAAAAAAATAAGAAAATTAATATATATATATATAATATAATAATTAAAATTCTAGTTCATATATTTTATAATTATGATTCATAAATATACAACTTAGAAATTTAAATATGACAAATATTATAACATAAAAATATATAATACATATATTACTTTTAATATTCTTGGATAAAGATAAGTTACAAGATCATTATCGCAAAAATTCCTTCTTGAAAGAATAATATCACGTGAGTATTCCCACTCCACTCTTTACACTTACATAACATAATTTCCCACATAATTTGTCTATACATGATTATTAGAAAAAAATTATTATTGGCATTGTTGATAATTATTGACAATTATAAACCAATTATAATATTGAAAATTATTAATTATTATTTACCAATAATTATCGATTATTAATATATATCGATTATTATTATATTATAATTAATATGTTATTCAATTCAGTTGAATATTTTTTACAAAAAACATTATATTAATTTTAATTTATATATAATTAATTTATATTATTATATAAATATATAACATTAGTTAATATAAAATAAAATATTATTATCGGAGATATTTAGATTTAATAATTATTTTTAATAACTCAGAACTGAATTATGCTCAAGTTGCTATAATTTATTCTTTTATTTTACTTTGTCGTTTTTATTTTTAAGACTTAATTTCTTTACATTTTTTTGTTCCAAAATTTCTTGTAATTTAAAAATAAATCGTCAGTTTTATAATAAAAAATTATATGAATCGCAAAATTATGATCAGAATGAAATATAATTAAACAAATTTTAATTCTTGATACAATTAATAAATCACTAAATTTAATAAATATCTATTCAGAATTAAAGAGTGAGAAAAGCAAAATCTGTAAAAAAAAATATAATTCATAATAATTTAAAATTTTTTATGTTTTTTTTATATTTATGATTCGAATCACTACAATCTTGATCTTAGATTTAAAAAGAAAAATCTTAGAAACAAAAAAAATTTTAATTAAATTTTTTTAAAAATAAATAATAATAAAAGATACTTTAATATTAATTATGATTCACTTAAAATATAAAAATCCAAAAAATGATCATCTATCACTATCATTAAAAAAATTATTTACATTTCTTCAAAGAATTCAAAAGAAAAAACAGAAATTTATCTGGAAATGCCATAATAAAA